TTTTTGCATATCATGTATTTTGTTTTTGCTATGTTTGTAAAATGTAATTTTCTTAAACGTTTTATGTGAGGGACTGCGGATGGAAATTAGCTCAAAGCTAAATCTGGCACTGTTATGCTTGACACGTTTTAATGTTATAAGTGTTCATCACTGTGCATTGTCCCTGCCAAATAAACTATTAAATGAAATACAATAAAGCATCTATACATATTGTGCCTGACGAATTAGTTTATATGGTTCAAAGACAGGAAACAAAACAAAGATTCACAGTGAATCTGCTTTCTGTAGTTCTTGATCCAAAATGTGAAGTCATGAGGAAAGCAACATAATTTGTGCTTTAAAGATGTAAAACATATTGTTTTAAATATTGTTTATTAAGTAATTCCTTAAATAATTATTTTAACTTCTGCTCAATCTTCAAAACTCTAATTATTATTAATAATAGCAATATTAAATAATAAACACAACAATAATAGTATTGTTATAACTGTTCCAATTAATAGTTGTTGTAATAATAATAATAAAAACATTACTTTTTCATTTTTTGTTGTTGTTGTTATTATTATTATAAAAAATACACACAGTGCTAGTCAATTGTTAAATGTAGTATCGCCATTTTTTTAAATGTATAAAATATCTTCTTTAAAGATAACAGATGAAGAACCAATAGGATTCCACAGGATGACGGTGGGCGGGACTTCCTGCAGGAAGACATTGTTATGTAGCTGTTTATCTGCAGCAAATGTTTCCCTCGTTTCTGGATTTTGTAGCTCATTCAAAAGGGACCGTGTTTTAACTGAAATACATTGGAGACGGTTTAATTTAGGTGTATAACAGGGTCAGGATTAACACGACAATGCAGAATTTTACAGCGATAAAATCGTTTGTTTTCCAGTATCCTAAAACTATTGCTGTGATCACAGTAACAGGTAATACTTTTTCGGAAGAAACAACAACTAACATCTTTTAGAGTCGACTCTAGTGTGTACACTCACGTAGTCTACCTTTACGCTAATGCCTGGTAATATACAGTGCAGTCTTTATTGATTCAGTTGAGAGACGGTGGTCCTGCAAAAACTGAAAGTGTTTATTGGTTGAATTCATGAAAATAAATGTGTGATTGCATGCTTAGAGAACTGACGTGGTTTGCAACAAGTTTATAATGCTAAAAGTTTCGCTATTTAAAATAGCTTTTGAAAATGGTTTGACAAGTCCCAAAGTTTGCTCTGTTTTTCTGTAATTGCTGCATAGGACCACAGCTACAAAATCATTACATATTTACTAACCCATGGTTTAAGTAAATGGTGTGAGCCTTCATTTTAGTTATACAAATGAATGATGGATTAATGCCTTTATTGTTGTCTAAATGGTCCCCTGATGTGAGCTATGATAATGATAAAGGGATGTATGAATAGACACATATATTGAGCCTATTTTACAGCAATTAAGGTACATACAAGACATTCCTGATGAAACCCTATTTACAGTGATAAAAAAACAGTATATTATTGTGTCTTCAATCATTTTTTCGAGCCAATTTCTAGCGTATTTGCTTGAAAACCATTAACTGATTGACAAAATATGTGCCAGTATTTTTTTATTTAAAACTTTTTTTATATGCGAATATATAAATACAACTGCAGATCAGTGAAGTGTCAGTTGTCAATGATGGAGACGTATTTTAACTAACTTTTCCAACAGGAGTCGGACTCTTTGGTGTGAAGAAATGGATGGCAGGTGGAGTTTGCCGCAGTAAAGCCTCACTGGAAGGAAAGACCGTCCTTATCACCGGAGGCAACACTGGGATTGGCAAAGAAACCGCTGTAGACCTGGCTAGAAGGGGTTTGTGGCTTATCCAGTTTTTATGTTGTCGCATTTAAGTATTTCATTTCATTTGAAAACTAACAAGATTTGCTGCTGCATTGCAGGCGCAAGAGTCATTCTGGCCTGCAGAGACATGGACAGAGCCAATAAAGCTGCAGCAGAGGTGATGAAGAGGAGTGGAAACGACCAAGTTGTTGTCAGAAAGTTGGACTTGGCGTCTCTGGAGTCGGTGCGACAACTAGCCAAAGACGTTCTAGATAATGAAGAAAGGCTGGATGTTCTCATCAATAATGCAGGTAGATATAAATCACTTCTCACCTCTGATGGTGTGATATAACACATTTGCACATCTTTCTTAACTTTTTATTTTATTTTAGGTATTATGAGCTGCCCAGAATGGAAGACTGAAGATGGCTTTGAAATGCAGTTTGGTGTGAACCACCTGGGCCACTTCCTTTTAACAAACTGCCTGTTGGATCTCCTGGAGAAGTCGTCCCCGAGTCGCATTGTCAATGTCTCCAGTTTAGCTCATGAAAAAGGTGCCACTTTTCTCTTCTTTTAGTTCACTTCAAGATATGTAGAGAGACTTTTATTCTCTCAAAAATGTTGTCCCTTCATTAATATTTTATATTAATTGATTCCTCTGTGAATACTGCTTTCACTCAACAGGTCAAATCTATTTTGATGACATAAATCTGGAGAAAAAATACCACCCTTGGAAAAGCTATTCTCAAAGTAAACTAGCTAATGTCCTCTTTACAAGGGAGCTGGCTAACAATTTGAAAGGTATTAACATATTTTAAATGTACACCAAACAGTTTTGAATAGACTCCTAGATTGTGTGAATGACACGTCTTTTTGCAGGGACCGGAGTAACGAGTTACAGCCTACACCCTGGGGTCATCCGTACAGAGCTCGGCCGACACATGTGGCCCGAAATGCCCCTGTGGAAGAAAGTTGTATTCGCACCATTCATGTTCTTCATCAAGTCTCCAACAGAAGGCGCTCAGACCACCATCTACTGCGCTGTGGAGGAAAGCCTGCAGAATGAAAGTGGACTCTACTACAGGTCAGTCATTGTGAATCAGTAGCTTCATTATTAGAAGTGAGACAGCCACATTCAATACAAGATTCAAGGGGAACTTCATTGTTCTACTAAGTATTTTTAACACTTAACATACAAAGGAGACATCGACAGCAGTAGCGAATACTCCAAGTTTATAACATAGGTTGGGTCATTAACTATTCTTTTGGCTTATGTCTGCTTAATACACTCTGAATCAACATAGGAAATGCAGTCGTGGTTGTCTTCTGCTACAGCTATCTTCTATTTTATAAGATACACTGGCAAATAAGTGATGGGCCCAATGTGCTAGCAAACAATTATCTATTTATCAAGCAGACACAATGGTATTCATTTGGGTTTCATGTTCCTTGCCACCCGATAATTGACGCTCTTTTTTGCTCTCCAACTGAGTCATGAGGGAAATATCTGGCTTTTGTTGATGGCCAGGTATAATACAGTGTGCTTATCAGAGCTTTTTTACAGAAAATATCTGCCTGCTGCAGAGAAGAGATTGATTTAAAATAGATTAAAATTATCCATAGAGCTGAGTGGGGGCTGCAGTGGCGGATCATAATTAGTGACCACTTTAAACTACATCACAGTTGTAATTTTAAATTATAATTGTTGTATAAAAAAGGACCCAAGATCGGTCAAAAAAACGGGACTCAACTAAAGGCCATTATCAAGTCAGTGAATAATACCAAACTAAATAACCATAAATCAAATTACCACAAACCAATTGTTATTCATCATGAGCATTTTTACTCGTGAGTAAATCAGCATTGTGGAAATGGACCGAGTCACATGTCTAACAGTGAATTGTTCACTGTTTACAGTGACTGCGCCCCTAAAACCGCCGCCCCCCAGGGCCTGGATGATGAAGCTGCCAAGAAGCTGTGGGATCTGAGTGCGGCTATGGTTAGCCGGACATAATCACGGTGACATCGATGATGCTCATCATCATCATCTTCATAGTACCAAAGGACTAACGAGTGGCCTGAGGACGGACTGATGCTGTCTCTAATGAGCATCTGTGTGGCCACTATCAGCTGAGCTCCTACTTAACGTGACAAATAAGTAAACAGACAGCATTCACAAGAGATAGACATTTATTCAGAATCTACAACAACCTACTTGCAAAAATACTATGGATTTCAGTTAAACAGAAGCAATGCTTCACAGTTAAGTAACATGGAAGCTGTATGATCTTTAGTTTTGATTGCCATTAGCGTGAAATGACATTTAAAGTGACAAAATTCAACAATGTCTGTGTTGACTGAGGGGTTGAATGTCATTTAATGTTACTTGATTTAATCATATAAGGATTACGTGTGCTTGAAGGTTTGTAACACTGTTAATAGCAACCTTTTTTCTCCTGGGCAATAAAGTGCTGTTATACATAGCCCATGGTTGTACCTGTTTCTTAAGGCATGTTTTTCATTCATACACATCGCGTATATTCTTTGTAGTGTTCCATATGAGACCAACAATATTGAAATAAAACACATTTTGGTTACATCATCATGAATTAAAAATGCTCCTAATACATTAAATGTATCTGTCCATTTCTTTTTTTTAGGTTTATTTATCTGAAAGGCACTTTGTACAAATTTGCTACAAACAGTCACATTTCATCTTACTCAAAGCTACATCTCAGACAAGTGCATCACAATTTTCTTTTAAAAAGAAAGCCCATTAATGGTGCTAATTACATATGCACAATTTGCACCCAAGTGGCCTGCTGGCTACAAGTGGACCCTGTATGTTCCCTACGCAGTACATTATTCTGTAAGAGAGCTAGTTCAGAGGAATAGTACCGTTACTTGGCATTTACATTCAAAACTGTAATACATATACAGCAGATGCTGTGTCAAAAGATAATAATCCTTCAGGTTGGGTTTAACACAGGGAGGAAGTCTATCTATATTGCTCAGTTTCAATATATATGTATATGTATATATATATATATATATATTAAATAAATTATACATTATTCAACATCTAGATGGCTGTGAGTCTACACAGCTGAACATATGGATGTACATCCTGACAATTTATGGTGTTCACATTTCTACAACAACAATATGCGCTGCATTAACACCACTACTAACTAATGAGCCTGCTCATCAAAATCAGAAAGTTGCTTCATCTGCTCCACTTGCATAGAGTGCCTCCTCACAAGTTTCTTCTTGGACTTGAGGCCGCCTCTCTTTGGTGTGTTTGGTGCTACTGGAGCTATAGATCTAATCCCTGTGGCCAGAGGTGAGGAGGGCTTGCTACTCGCCCCAATGTCAGGAATGGGAGGGTTGGGGTTGATGTTGAGAGGGGGCAGTTGTCCGGGCCTGGTGTGGGAGATGTGGTCCAGCAGCAGAGTGCCTGAGCCTCTCCTCTCCAGGAAGCCAGGTACCCGCCTGCGTGCTGCGCTGGGGGAGGACGGGCTGGTGTTGCTCTCTAGAGATTCCCTGGAGCCGGTCAGAATCGCTAGTGGAGAAGTGTTTAGTTTCCTTCGATCCCCTGGGATCTTCGGAGAGTCTAACATGGCAGAGCCTGAGTAGAGCTGTGAGTCTGAGTCATAGTGGTCGTTCCCCAGATGTCTTCTATGCATTGTGTCTCTCAGACTGCTGCAGCTGCTGCTCTCCTCTGTGGGCACAGTACTGCGCCGGGCCAGCAGCTGGTGCTGGCCTACAGATCTCTCATATGATGCTTTGGACGTTGGAGGAACTGATATCGAGGTTGTCATTTTGCAGGGTTGTTCGCCCACCAGCGGGAACAAGCTGTCCTTCCCATCCACACTGCTCTGTCGAGATAAAACTGACCTCTTACTAAGAGAGAGTCCGTTCACCCCTGCGACAACATCCTCATCAGTGCTGGCTTTCTTGCTCTCCTCTTGGGCGGCAGCTGCTGCGGCCAGGACTGAGGGAGCGATCAGCCCCCAAGGCTCTGACTGCAGCCTCTTCAGCTGAGGCAAACGTGCACGCTTGGGATTTGCAGTCCGGCGTGTTGGAGACGTGGGCCCGTTGGCTAGCTTTGAAGCAGAACTAGAGGTTTTTAACTTGGTTTGGAAACTGAAGACTGTGTTTTGTTGCTCCTGCTCAGGTGTGGGAGATGCAGTGACATTAATGTCAGACGGAGAGGTGCAGTACTCTAGGGAGGACCTCTCATCCAGCTCTGGTGATGGGGGGACATTTAGGTACTGCTTGGTAGTTTGAGTGCCAGACGGGGATTTGTCTGTGGTGATTATGATGACCTCCTTGCCTTTAGCTTTGCATGCATCCAAGAGCAGCTTTAGTGTTGCCTTGTCACCTGCGTTGATAGCATAGACCAGCGCTGAGGCCTTGCTCCTGTCCTCCAGACTGGGATCTGCTCCATTGCTCAGCAGGTGGTCCACCACCTCGTGCCCGGCTTTGTTGATGCAGGCGTGCATTAGAGCCGTCCTGCCAGCTTTGTCCTGTATGTTGGGGTCTGCCTGGTTGTCCAGCAGATATTTCAGAAGCTTTGACTTGCTCACACTCTGCTGGTCACTGTGTGTGGACATGCAGGCCACCATGAGGGGCGTCTCTCCACGTTCATTGCTCTCGTTGATGTATGCACCTCCTTCCAACAGGAGCCTAGTTAGTCGCAAGCGCCTGAGCCATACCGCCTTCAGGAGAGAGTTTCCATCTGTCCGCAGCTCGAGTATATCTGCCATCTCCCAGCCAATGAAAGGTCTTCTCAATGTTGCACTTACAGCTCACAAACCTTTGAATAAATCAACAAAGAAGTTCAGCATACATTGCAAAGATCTTTTAAAATTGAGGCTCATATTTTTTGTTTCTCTAATGTTGTTGCTAAATAATCACTACCAGCAGGTGGCAGTCTGTTATAACACAAGGGTTGTAATATAACTTAATGTCACATATTTTCGATATAGGAAATATATTTTTTATATAATAATTTAGATGATGATAATGTGCAAAACATATATTTTTACAAAGGTGAAACTAATCATGGCCAAAAATCATGCCAATGCTGGAGACACCATGGTAGCAGCACCTGTTAGATTCACAAAAACAAATACCGATTGATGATCACGATATGTTGATGTTAAATATCAAAGTTGATATTGTTATCTTCGTCGAGACAGGAGATTGTTTGTGTTTTCATATTTATAAAAGCGACGATTAAAAGCATTAATCAACCTCAAGTGCGCAAAAGCACCAGCCTTGTTTGCAAAAATGCCTATTAGACTGTACATAGAGGTGGTTTTCAATGTATAACATCAAGATAGGGAGACAAATCTGCATGTAGAGGCGAAATCAAATATCGGCACCATGTGAGCCGTAAGAGTCGCTGTCCATGGTTATCATTTTGGAGAACTTGGCGACAGAAACGCGCTCCATTACACATTTTGTTGGTCGTCTGTTCGTCCGTTAAATTCTGCATTTGAAATTGTTTCCTTATGTAAATATGAAATAACATAATATAACATTGTACACACATCGTATTGTATTTTAAGTAACGAAAAGGTTAATCTTTTTTGTTTACCGTCCTCCTCTAAGAAAAAGAAAGCACCGACGCAAGATAACGACATTTGAAGTTGAATTAATGAAGCCTCGTTTTCATTATTTTGTAGTTCTATAATTAACCAAACATAAAGTTGCTTTGCTAATTGTCTTACCTGTTCAGAGGAGAGGTTTTCCATGCTCAAAGTACCCATTGCTTTCTCATGTAAGAGGGAAAAAATCGTGGGAAATCATTTATTCAAAAGAGAAAGTTTGTTGCAGTATTTCGCAAAAATCCCTATTTTTTTAGATGCGACTCTTTCTATCTACAGTACGCGTCCTGGTTTAGGTGTCAGGGCGCCGTCCCTCTGTGGCACCATAGCACATGAGCGCTGTGGCTTTTGTGATTCAGGCTCACTACATCAGTCCAATGGGGAGTATTCCTTTCACTGCGCACTCAAGGATCACAACCTGGAGATGCTGCGTGTTATAAATAACTTACTTCTTGCTTGTTGAATGAAACGTGTATTCTCTTGACGTCAGAGTCGACCGAAATAAATTGCGTCTGATGAAAACCTATGTCCTGATCTTCATACGTGCAGCTCACAAACACATGTTAATGTTCTGCGTGTGTGTATTATATTTAAATCTTTTCAAAAGGATAATTTTCAAATTAAAGCAGCGGACACTGCTGGACCCACATGAAAACAAGCAATTTCGCTGGGTCTTCTTTTATACTTTTTTTACATTTGTGAATCCATCCCTTAGATTGTATAGCTGTTCTATAATGTAATCTGTCTGCAGTGTGGAACATCAGTGCCAGTTGTTAGAATAAAGACAATCTTCCTATCTGCCATGTAATAAAGGGCACAGCGAAGATCATTGATCTCAAATATGACAAAGCAGGGATCTGTTCTTGATCCACATCACACTGCTTCCTGAAGGAAATGCCAATATGTAACAAGTATGGGCTTCTTAAACTAGATATCTTGTTAGATTTTTTATAAGCAGTGATAAATATGATATAACATCAATAATAATTAGGGTTTATTTATGCATATCTCCAACCAATGTGTCTCGGATTGGCTTGTTTCACTGCTCAATAAACGAAGAGATGGAGCACAAATATTTCACACCTATATATATTTACTGCACAATTAAAGAGGCCAAAACTTGCAGCAGCCATCACAGCTATACAGCCTAATAGGGACATTTCTATTTTTAGGTTGCTATGAGACAGCACAGAAGCAGTTTCTAATGAGAACAGTGACGTTCTCAGCCCTGCAAAGAACAGGTAAATCAGACACATAACATTCCACCGTGGACCGCCAGGCTTTTGTGCCATTTACTCAAATACTTTTTAGATTGTGCCTGTTTTTTTTTTCACTTGCACATGTAAGCAGCCACCACCAGGTTCAATCATTATTCCTCTGACCCCTGCTCTTTTCCTCTGAGACTGGAACTAATCACTTCATGACCCATCCAAACACTTGACGTATCAGGACTGCAGTCGTCAATGCTGCCAGTGATTTCTCACCTGCAGATTGCCTTCTCAGCCCCCGGGGATATGTTGTTTACCAGGCACATGGAGAAAGTGGTTTTATAAAGCAGCACATACAGTTGTCATCCAAGGCAAAATAATGGGTTTCTACTATCCAAGATACATTGCATTAGAAATTAGCAACAGTCTTGATTTTAATGGAATATTTGTGATACTTTACATGTAAAATATTGTTGCTACATCTTTCAAAGTGCAGAACTGAAGTTACCTGTAATTGTTTGGTTGTACCTATGCTTTTGGGTAAAGATAACCTAATGTGCTACAGTTATTATAATTTTGTAGAATGTAGGGTTTTTGTGCACTTGATATTACCTGTATCATGGACAGAGCTGCTGTCCACAGAGAGATGATGGACGCGGCGGCACAGACAAAGCCAAGGCTCAATGGTTTGGACACATTCATTAGCACTGGGAGCAACAGGACGTCAGCAGTCCTCATGCAGCATGATCTTTGCCCTGAAAATGCTGTCGTCGGCGGTCTATTAAAGGGAAAATAAATAATTAAGGTGGATAGAATAAGCGCTGTCACCCCTGGGAGCAGTTTCCATTTTCGGATATCTTACATCACAGCTGCTGCTCTTCCTCCCCTTCTTTCTAAATATAACCTTTTCTTCAGTCTGCATTGGGAGGTTTATATTCAACAGTCTTACTGTAGATCGGAGATTATATTTATAGATCCTTTCGAAGTTCATGTAAAAAGTTTTTAACAATTATTAATAGTGATTTAGAGTCTGATAGCAATGAATCATCGAGTAGTCAGAACCAGTAATCATTATGTTGGGCCCCAACCAATGTCAGTGTTTCAACAGTCAAGAAATACAAAATAAAAAAGTGTTGTCCGGTTTTAAACAAGTCAAACAATGTTTTAAGCTCTCAGACTTCAGAGGGGTTCAAGGGGCAAAACCTAGAATGAAAATAAGTTATGAAAGCATGATAACAAAAAGATGAACACAGGCCATTGAAGAATGGGACACGGCCAGACTGTGCTGAGCACTTGAATTGACTGCCATAACAGCCTAGCTTAGTATAAAAAGTGAAAAGAGGCTGCTTCTGGCATGCTTTATAGTAATCATACGGATCATCGGGCCGCATTTTTGGCATTTGACTGAAAAGGGTATAGCTAAGTACCCTCGAACGCTGCTTCAACTAACTTGCATGAATTGAACACATGTGATGGTTCAAAGTTAAAAGACCAAACACCTGTCTGTTAAAATCAATGTAGCCCCGCCATAATGCATACTCTACTTTACTGTCTATTTCACTCTAGATGGGACCATTATTGTCACGGCTGGATGGCAAGGTACACAGGACCCAAATGCAGAAGATTGGTTGAAATCCAAAATACTTTTATTGCGGAACTAGGCCAGGCAACAAAGTCAAATAAGGCAAAACGTAAAAATCCCTCATAACAAAATCCTTCCAGCAACATCAAGAATCTCACAAAGACTAACAGAAAAAGCAGAACCTAAATGCAGTTGCACACAGGACTAATCAAACAAACAAGACACAGGTGAGGAGGGAGGAGAAAACACAGGGGCACAAGGTGAACACAATCGGGTAATCAGGCAGGAGGGAACACAGAGACAGGAAGCAACAGACAAGACAGGGGGGTGAACACTTTTCAAACTAAAACAGGAAAACAAAGATAGATCTAGACAGGACAAAATAAAACATAGACAGATCGTGACAATTATTTTCCAATGAATATCATGCTGTATTAAAAAATACTTGATACCATAGCGATTGAGACCATTATCCTCTCAGAATTGGAGTCATTTTCCAATAGACTTCTATATAACAGGATATTTGTTGGCATTGAGGAGTCGATCCTGCTGTATATTATAATGGCTTCACTCTAAAGTTGGTAGAGTGGTTGGTTACCAAGCCCTTACAGTCAACTTGTCGGTGTATCCTTGGGAACGATACTTAACCCCAAATTGCTCCTGATGACATGGCCAATGATGTGTAAATGTAAGCTTCCCTGAGCTGAGATGGCACCTTAAATGGCAGCTTCTATTCTGAAGAAGCGCTTTACTGAGTTTGTAAAGACTGGAAAAGCACATTATAAATTCAGTCCATTTACCATTTTTTTAAACCTGGAGTTTTCAGCTAGATACAGACATAATATTAATCTTCCCATCTAATTCTTGGCAAGAAAGCAAATAAATGTACTGCCCAAAATGTCAAACTTGAAGAGCTGATCTGAATCTTCTTCTGAAAAAGAAATCTGCTGCTGTTATTCATGAAGATCAAAATTGTTTTTATACAATTATCTCATGAGGGACATCTTTGTTTATTCTGCCCATCTTGACAACCCCATTTGCATTTCGACACAGACGTAGATTTTTCCGCAGCATATATCCTTTGTTGTTGCGGTGCTTGTTTGTGATTCTTCCTCTGTGCTGGTTGTCTCTTTAAACACTGAGTTTGACATTCTCATGGCATTTGGTGTCACTGCGATTGTATCAAGCGAATGTGTGGGCTGCGACAGCGATGAACTGGCAGGAACCCCACTGCAGCTTTGCACCGGACTGCTCCATGCCTCCCTCCTACCTCGGCAGATTTAGGAAAAAATGCCTTCAGTGCAGCTTAAAAACCTGCTACCCCTCACATATGCTGCAAGTTATTTTTTTCTACTATCCACGCA